CATCATTTGTAGTCACATCGAGAGCTTACACAATGTTGAGTCTGGATTATAATTCTTCATTTGCATGTGTTTTGGATGCCTGTGATTGTATAACGACCTTAAAATCATTCAGGCATAATAAATTCAGGGCTCGAAATTGCAACCATTTTGGTCGCATATGCGCCCGAGATTTTACCTATGCGAATTCAAAATATATTTGGGAGCTTGTGTTCGTGTGCAAAAAATTGTTGTGTGCGACCAGTTTTTACTGCAAAATGTTCACCACATGCGCGGATTCGGGAGACATTCACACAGAATGCATCTCTGCACTTTAAACGCGAAACGCAGCGCTCAGGAATGGTTTAAAACAATTGTCAGGTCAACTTGCTGCAGTAAACAAAGCCAAGTCCGTAATGCTTGTCCCGCCTTGGCGCTCTTCTTATTGGCCCACTACTGCTCTGGCACTGAAATATCAGCTGTCAATCACTCAGTCAATGCCTTCTGGCTTGGGATGACAAAGAGAGCTACTACTGCAAAAAATTGTAAAGCGCTGAAGATGAGAATGAAGATAACACTGACAGATTTTGTTTTCGAAACCATGGCATCTAAAGTTACAAATAGTGACACATCTTACAAGTGATCATGTGCTGAATGTTAATCCACCATCTACACTTTTCGAAGAGTGAATAAAAGACTTCCAGTGGCTTCAAGTCCGCTATGAAAAGTCTGTGGGATGGAATTTTCAGGTAACTGTTTGCCACATCTAGCACGAGAGCTTCTGTTTAATCCTTTATTTAATCGCCAGATGCTGTCCGCCATGCAAGAGGCAGCTATATGTCAAATTTAACACCACGTACACCATCGCAAACGGGCTTGCACTGACTAAACTAATATCGCTACACATGAAAAGTATTGCTATTAACATGACTTATGCATATAATAAGGTACAGTATATGTCAGAAACATCAGTGCAATATTAGACACGACCCGTGAGAACAGCAGAGTTATATCGTTAACAGATTAATTCATGTCAAGCAGTGTGTGCAGGGCCGGTGAGCGGTCCGTGTACCTTTTGGTCACTCAGTTATCAGTATGGGATTTCTCAAAAAGGTTGCTTTCGAGCCCTGAAATTGTACCATTTGTAATCTTAACCACGATTAACTTTATTGAATTATTTTTATTTTTAACATTCAGTTACTGTACTTGAATACTTAGAACTTAAAAAAATGATAAAACACTTTTTCAATTGTATATTTTTCTTGATTGTATTTATAAATTGTTATGCATGTAAATGGCATCTTTACATTCTCTTTACTTTTGTGGATAAGGAAATGGTGTTGTATGCACTGAACTGAAGATATTCATTAGCCTATATATTTAATTTAATTTATTAAGCTTAAAGATTTGTTTCTTAACTTGTTATTAAAACAAATTTAAATTTGCATATAATAAATAATACTGCTAATAGTTATAACATTATACAAATGCAAATTGTCATGAACAAATTGAAAACGCCCCCATAGAGACGAGACATAGAGGCAGAAGTTTTTATATTTATGTAGAAAATAGTCATTTTTGTAATATTTTAATATTTTTTCATGTGTAAAGATATTTGTGTATTGCTGTACATCCTGTGTTTATTAAGCATTTGAACCCACTTAGGTGCATAACTAAAGCAGTGTGCACTGGACTTAAGACTTGCTTTTAGATGGTCAATGGTGCGGTCTATTTCAGTTCCTCAAAATAGCAACGTGCCAATGATGTGCCTTAACACATCTCATTTTAGACCAGCATGCCCAAGAGTCTACAAAATGGTGCAAATTGACTTGCTATTTTAACAATGTGGTGCAAAACGTGAAAATAAGGGTTGCGCTGGTTTGAAAATAGTAATAAATCTCGCCAAACATGTTTTGCGCCTTTTTGCGCAGTGTATGTTAGGGCCCCTTAACTTTGTCTTTAACTATATAAAGTACAAAGCACAAAAAAAAAAAACCTCAACAAAACTAAGAAAAAAAAAAGCACATATTTACACATTGTAAAACCCAAAAGTCAACATCATCAAATGAAATGAGCGTAGTTACCACAAAACACAAATTTTTCTGAAAGTTAATTCTACTCATTTAAAAAGAGTTTTGAACTCAGTGTTGAGGTTGATGAGTAAATGAAGTGATTAAGAAAAGTGTTGATTGAGCATTAATAATGCACACCTGCTACTAACTAATTATCTCATTACTTCAACTTAAATTGAGCTCACAGTACTCATATAGATACTCATATACATACATTTTTAACCCAAATGTTTTGTAGCAATCGGTTTCCTCAAACGGTTTGAGTTGCCTTAACATTTTGGGAGTTATCTTAATTTATTGGGTTTTCCTTTACTCAAATCGATTAAGTTCACAGTACTTATTAGGATTAGTTTTTGAACTGGTTTGATGCAATCGATTTCCTCAAATAGTTTGAGTTACCTTAACTTATTGGGTTTTACACCGTATAGATTTTTTGTCATGAGAATGCAATTTTGCTTGTTTATTATTTGTTTGTCCTATAAGCGAGTACATCAGCACCACTCGTCTTTACTCTACTGCTATTAGTAATGAAAATAAAATACCCAAAAACTTCCTTCTCTTTAAGGACCTCTAAATAATCTGCGACTCTGGCTAATTACTGTATCAAAACATAGTTTGCAAGAAATGAAATCGATGATCTGGAGGCGTGTGTCTTAAAGAGTGCTGCTTATTCATGTGGTTCAGTTTATTAAGTAAAGTAGAACCACAAACAAAAGCTTTTGTGGAAGTCTGAGCAAATCAACATTTCAGCAAATATCGATCAGCTCATTTTCTTTAATCAAACTCCTTTTTTAATCCGCCGTTGATGTTCACAAGAAATGTCCACTTATACGCAGAATCGCTCTTAATGAGGCCAGTTGATGGAGAGCTTGATTTGAACCATTCAGACGGTAAAAAAGGAAGGTAATGATTCAGGAACAGATGACTCAGACGCCTTTCTTTATCGTATTATGAATCTTTGAAGAGACAGGGAGAAATACAGGACTCACGGTTGGATAGAGCGAATGGTGAGAATATGTTTACAGTTGTCTGCACAATTAACTATGTGTGCAAGCATGTGAAACTGTGCCTTCAGGTGCAACAATGATCCTCCTAACATTAGCTCCAGCTGTGCTGTCAGAAAAACCAGTCCTTTGGTATCATGGAAAGAGGTGTACCTAACATTCTATGGCAATGGAAGTATCGAGCACTGGATCCATTTGATACTTGTATTTAAACTCAATAAAGTTAAGGGTTTCTATTCACATTGTTTTCCAGCATACCACTTCACTTATTACACCCAATATAGTGGAAACAAACACTCAGATATTAAGAACGCAATGAAACTGTCCATAAATTATACAACCGCTTTCCTCTGTGTCCTGGAGATGCCAATTTTCAGTCTCAAGAGTCTCTCAGTGGGATCTACAGCCCCATATTTTGTCCACTTGACAGTCCTGCAGTCCTGAACACCTGCTGCATGTATAATGACTCTCTGCGCTGGAATCAAACTCTCTGCTGAGGAACAGCAATGGAGAGTCAACACCTTTCAGGCACCTCTGAGGGCAAATAACAATGTTTAATTTCAAATTTCAAAAACTGTGATGATTTGTTTAAGGAATCATTTAACCAAAGGCTGGAAACACAATGGTATTTTGCATATATGCACACACTCAATGGTCACCGTTGCCATCCAGTCTCTATGGTGTAGAATAAACAATGTGATGGAAACAGTGCTCTGAGATTTTGGGACTTATTAACATGAAAGCCTCATAGTGTTGCGGTAGAACTGTCAGATGCAGGTCATGCATTTCACCACATTCAAAAGTGCTCTCCTGCAGCTTCACTTAAGCCTAGATCACGTTGCATGAGTTGATTTTATTGATGTGTTATTTCACACTATGCAACCCTATGTAAATGATCCACAAGATGGGGTCACAAACTACATGATATGACACCAACTTTGCCACCAACTAATCTAAATTAAATGTTCGGAAAGAGCAGAAAACAATTGGCTGCTTGTGTGATGATGTCAGAGAAATTGTTGGAAATCTCTCTGAAAGTGTTCAAGGCAGCATTTGAAAGCATTATCTATTATCAGTCAGCGAATCGATCGCTCGTATATTTGCACAGTTCAGCTGAAAGACGAGGCTTTCATTCGCTCTGATGTCCATGCAAACACACGGTGGAGTGAGTGTGTTGATGACCATTCTGCCAAATCACAAACATTTCTGTTGAGCACACATCAGCTAGTCAACAAAGTTTACGTCTCGCAATTCTGAGATAGCGTTTCGCAATTCTGAATTTACGTCTTGCAATTCCAAATTTATGTATCACAATTCAAAGTTTACAATCTTGCAATTACGAGTTTACAATCTTACAATTCCGAGTTTACAATCTCACAATTTCGAGTTTACAATCTCGCAATTCTGAATATACATCTGGCAATTCTGAGTTTATTACCCCCCCTCTTCCAGGGGAACACACACAAGGCTCCCGAAGCTGAAATGGACTCAGAAATCCTGAATCAGCCCAAAAGTAAATTTTATGTTTTTGTAAACTTTGTATTTCATTTCTGACTTTTCTTACATGTATAATTCCTCTTATAACCCTTACGCCTCATACTTTTTAGCCTTTTAAAGCTTCAATAATGTCTTTCTGCATGCCTTTGGGTGGACCCTTATTTTGCATATTAGCAGGCCAGAGACAAAGAAAATCTATCGCTTAAACTTTGCCACGAAACCATTGGTCAGTCAGTAAAAGAAGGGGCGTGGCCAGAACAACAGTTAAAACCTAAACTACGCCTAAAACTCAGGGCAGAAGACCTGAAAACAGTTTTTCGAGAGGTGCCACAAAAACCACATTTTCTGTACCCGCGTGGCATCATCCGAGCCCACGTTTTCTTATTTTTCCAGAGAAACCCAGTTAAAGTTTGCGCCTCGTGTACCCTTCAACCCTGCAAACTCCAAGCACCAAGAAAGGACTTCTTATAGGACTCCATCTTCTAACGCATCAGAGAGAGACTCACCCACAAAAGAAAGACCATCTTTCTAAAGGTATTTAATTATGCTATAAGCTGTGCCCCTCTATCAAAAAGGTGTTTTTGTGTAATCTTGGTGGTCCTGAATAGTTGTGTGGAACTGAGGTAGATTTGCGACTCTTTTATCTGAACTCTCCATTTCCTCACTTTTCTGTTTCTTTCTGTTTGCTATATGTTCTATAGACCAGTTTATAGCCTATCTACATTCAGCATACATTTGTTCGATGTTTTATGTTATGTTTGTGCGTTTGTTCGTTATATGTCAGACTAGTCATTCTTGTCGGCTTAGTCCCTTTATTAATCAGGGGTCGCCACAGCGGAATGAACCGCCAACTTATCCAGCAAGTTTTTACGCAGCGGATGCCCTTCCAGCCACAACCCATCTCTGGGAAACATTCACACACCCACTCATACACTACCGACAATTTAGCCAACCCAATTCACCTGTACTGCATGTCTTTGGACTGTGGGGGAAACCGGAGCACCCAGAGGAAACCCACGCGAAGGCAGGGAGAAAATGCAAACTCAACACAGAAATGCCAACTGAACCGAGGTTCGAATCAGCAACCCAGCGACCTTCTTGCTGTGAGGCGACAGCACTACCTACTGCGCCACTGCCTCGCCCTCAGACTAGTCAATAAATCCTATTATAATCAAATGGATTGTATTGTTTGCCTCACAGAAAAAGTCACTGAAACGATCGATTTCTTTGCTACAAGCTGGTATTAAGTTAATCAAAACTTATGAATGATTAATCTTCTGCTCAAGGAGTAATAATAATTCCCTTTCCAAATAAATGGATCATACAGAGTCTGCTCGGACGAGCGGGCGAGGTCTGGTTATATTTATTTGGTCAAATTAACAATAAGTTAATTTAGAATATTAATGATTAATAATAATTCGTTATTGTTGATAATAAATATTCATAATCTGGGAGTCCGCTCGAAAGAGAGGGTGGAATTATATATATTTATATATTTGTTTAACCAAATTGACAGAAGGTTAAGCCGTAATATTAATAATTAATAATAACTCATTATTATTGATTATTAATATTCGTAAACTGAGCTAATACCGCTAAACAATACTGAGTTTACGTCTCGCAATACTGAGTTTACGTCTCGCAATTCTGAGCTTACGTCTCGCAATTCTGAGCTTGTGTCTCGCAATTATGAGCTTACGTCTTGCAATTCTGAGCTTGTGTCTCGCAATTATGAGCTTACGTCTCGCAATTCTGAGTTTACCTCGCGCAATTCTGAGTTTACGTCTCGCAATACTTAGTTTATGTCTCGCAATTCTGAGTTTACAATCTCGCTATTCTGAGTTTACAATCTCGCGATTCTGAGTTTAAATTCTCGCTATTCTGAGTTTACAATCTCGTGATTCTGAGTTGACAATCTTGCAATTCTGAGTTTACAATCATGCAATTCTGAGTTTATGTCTCAAAATTCTGAGTTTACGTCTCACAATTCTGAGTTTACGTCTCACAATTCTGAGTTTACGTCTCACAATTCTGAGTTTATGTCTCACAATTCTGAGTTTACATCTCACAATTCTGAGTTTACGTCTCACAATTCTGAGTTTACAATTATGCAATTCTGAGCTTACATCTCACAATTCTGAGTTTCCGTCTCGCAATTCTGAGTTTCCGTCTCGGAATTCTGAGTTTACAATCTCGCAATTCTGAATATACATCTCGCAACTTTGAGATAACGTCTAGCAATTCTGAGGTAACTTCTCGCAATTCTGAGTTTACATCCTGCAATTCGGAGTTTACATCTTGCAATTCCGAGTTTACATCATGTAGCTATTCTGAAGTTTACTTCTTACATTTTACAAGACTAAGTTTATATCTAGCAGTTTTTAGTTTACATTTTGAAATTCAGGTTTTACATCTAGCCAAGTTGTGTCTAAGTCCAAGTCAAAGGTTGAACTTTCACATTCAGCTCGCCTACACAATCCTTAGAGTTCACCTCATTGGAAACAACAACACAGTACATCTATATAACCTATAGAACACAAACAGGGAAATAAATAATTTGCTCACCAGCTCCAAAAACTGCCAACAAGTCCCACAAATGTCCGTTTGCCTTCTACTGCTGCACTTTGCAACCAGCTAACTGTCTAAAATGATTACATATCATTGGTTGATGGCTGACAGATACTAATAGGATTTTGCTATAAGGAGGAGCAGTGGGACGCAACAATTGCATTTGGTTGGATGTAGCAGATAAGAGAGAGCGAATGTAAAAGTCTAATTGTACAACACAAGGCTCCGGCTGCCCTGCAGATGGACAGGCCCTTTCGTGATGCGATCTGTTGTCCGCTCTTCAAAATGACAGACGTGATTCGACAAGGCCACAGCCTCAAGTGAGAGCAAAGCATGATTTTGCACTGTCACTGTTTGCTTGGTGGAAATAACAGCTGATGCGGAAGAGAAACAGTGGAATATTCGAGAATCGGAGGGGGTTGTTGCCTATTGTCATGTGCCGTGTGAAATTACAAGTGAAGTGGCGTTGGGAGAAATGAAACCAGCAAACCCTTGAGCAATAATAAAAGGGTTTTTCATTTCACCAAGGCTTAAAATGGATATATGTTTTGATTAATTCAAACAGGCATAAGTCAGAGAAGGGAGGAAGGGTGTATGGGGAAAAATATGTAATGAATGCTGTGAATTTTACACTGTGCTAGTGTTAGTTATAAATATGTTAACTTCCTAATTTTATTTTACTTTTTTTGTGATGCTTGTTTGTGACTGATAATTAAGGTAAGTTTTAGGGCTGCTCGATTTTGGGAAAAATCATAATCACGATTATTTTGGTCATAATTGTAATCACGATTATTAAGCGCTCCTAAGAATTTTTTTTTAAACAAATATTTCCCAAATGATGTTTAACAGAGCAAGGAATTTTAACAGTATTTCCTATAATATTTTTTCTTCTAGGCTTATTTGTTTTATTTTAGCTAGAATAAAAGCAGGTTTCAATATTTTGAAACCCATTTTAAGGTCAATATTATTAGCCCCCTTAAGATATATATTTTTGATTGTCTGCAGAAGAAACTACTGTTATACAATGAATTGCCTAATTACCCTTATTAAGCCTTTGAATTGCACTTTAATCTGAATGTTTGTATTTTGAAAAATATCTAGTCAAACATTATTTACTGTCATCATAGCAAAGATAAAAGAAATCAGTAATTAGAAATCAGTTATCATAACTATTATGTTCAGAAATAAGTAAAAAAAAAAAAAACTCCTTTCCATTAAACAGAAATTGGAGGAAAAGGGTTGCTAATATTCAGGAGGGCTAATAATTCCGACTTCAACTGTATATATACAGTTATTTTCCAACCTGCAAAGGAAAGAGAAATAAATACAATAGAATAAAAATATGAAACAAACTGTGCTTTAAGAATCTTCACTGTAAGAAAAACACTTTAGCTACAAAAGTCCTTCAGTCAAGAGCAGAGAGGGATTTTCTCGTTTTATTTGATTAATAATCATAAAAAAAGGAAGCAGCAAGAACATCACCCTGTCTCTTTAATGGTTTCTCTTTCACGTGTCTTGATCCTCAACTCGTTTGTTTATTACACAAATGAGGGTTAATATAAATAATCACTAAACACCGCGTTTTGACACCTATTTGACCATTAAAGCGCTCACGTTAAGATGACTTTAGATGTCTGTGCACCTCTGCTCGACTTAGTGTGCGAATGAGACCGAATGCTGACTGGCCGCATGCTTCTGACTGTGTGCTTGACGCATACGCACATAAGCATGCGGTCTTTCGTGCTTTTAAGAGCAACAAACGAAAGAGGCCGGTATATGATGCAATAATCATTTATCTCGATTAATGCTTTTTCATAATCGTTTGAAGCCAAAATCGAAATCGAATTTTCGATTAATTGCACAGCCCTTGTAAGTTTTATATTCATCTTATTTATATTTAATAATTGTTATTTTAGTACATCTGGTTAATGTTATCTGGTCAGTTTTTTTAAATATTGGTTTATAATGTTGTTACATGCATTGCATCAATACACAAAAAAAAAAAAAGTGAAGTAAAATTTTGTAAAGCACAAGCAAATTTATGCTTTATTGTTATACATTCCAATATCTATCTATCTATCTATCTATCTATCTATCTATCTATCTATCTATCTATCTATCTATCTATCCATCGTGTACTCCAACCTATCCATCCATCCATTCATCCATCCATCTTGTACATTTCAATCTATCTATCCATCCATCCATTCCAATCTATCCATCCATCCACCCATCTTGTACATTCCAACCTATCTATCCATGCATCCATCCATCCATTTTGTACATTTAAATCCATCCATCCATCCATCCATCCATCCATCCATCCATCCATCCATATATCCATCCAAAGATCTTGTTCATTCCTATCTATCTATCTATCTATCTATCTATCTATCTATCTATCTATCTATCTATCTATCTATCTATCTATCTATCTATCTATCTATCTATCTATCTATCTATCTATATCCATAAATCTATCTTTCACATTTCAATCTATCTATCTATCCATCCGTCCGTTCGTCTATCCATCAATTCTTTCATCCATCCATCTAGCAAATTCCAATTTATTTATCTATCTATCTATCCATCCATCCATCCATCCATCCATCCATCTATGCATATATCCATATATCCATCCATCTATCTTGTACATTCCAATCTATCCATCCATCCATCCATCTATGCATATTTTACATTCTAATCTATCTATTCATCCATCTATCCATCTATCTTGTAAAGTCCAATCTATCCATCTATCCATACATTCATCCATAACGTAGTATTCAACAAACTGATCTAAGAAAACCTCTTTTTATTTAGGTTAGATCAAAAGCTTATTTTCTTGTGAATTATTGCATTTTTAATATTAGCTAAAAAAAGATTGCTGAATAATCAGAATTTCTCCAAGAGCAAAAATTGTAAGAACAAATCTAAATCAAATCTAAAATCTAAACAAAAAAATG